TTCCAGAACACGGCCACACAGCCCGGAAGACCCACACCAGCCATTGTATGCCGGCCGTGAAAGCCTTCGACAATACATTGTCACTAACCTTCTTTAAAATGTAGTGCCTAGAACTGAACACAGTATTCTAGGTTTGGTCTGACCAATGTAAAAGAGAAAGGAACAATGTCTTCTTAATCTCAAGCCACAGCTAGCCATTGAATAACGTTATCTTAGATTTGTGATTCAGGTGACATTTTAGCTTAAGGATCCAAGCTAATACAGGAATTTTCCTAGAATCTGCAGTTGTACAGCTTCAGCATGAGGTGTAAAATTCTCACCTAATTTTATGCAAGTAGAGTTTTCTGTTAGCTCAAGAACTGATGGATAGCACTTTAATCAGCCATGATAATGAGCTCCAAAACTAATACATGAGGTTGCCCAAGGACTCTGCAAGAGTTTGCATTGTGTTTTTATTACCCAAAAGACAATGCCCCTTGTAGATTGCTAAAGCCAAGAGTAAAACTTGTGGACCTCTGTGTAAATCAATAATCTGTTTCCTCCCTTTTTTCAAAAAGCTGCTATCCAGACAGAATGACTTGTGCTGGATCTCCCTCTCTCTCTTTTGAATGGGCCATTCAGGACATTGATCTCCCCACAATCCCACTTTGTTCTGTTACTCCATGCATGACATCCATGGGCCTACTCACCTGGTTTTTGAAGCACATGGAGACAACAAATGTAGTTTTGTCCGCAATGACACCACCATCAGAGAAGAGAGAATAAACAACCAGAGATGACTGTGGTGCAAAGTCAGAATTAAAAGTCAGGAGGATGGAGAAAGAGCCTTGTAGAGCTGAAAGAGGTGTGAAAGAAAGGAATCAGGGAGAATAATAAGAGCAAATCATTCTTCCACTCATAATCCCAGCCTCCCTTCATCACCTTTCCAGTTTCACCAGTCATCTCTTTAACCTGTTATCAGTGATCCTACCTCCACCTTTACTCTTCACAGTCTTTTGTCCATGCACAAGGATCTGCCCCTTTCTGGTCACCTGTGGAAGAAGGAGGCGTAACGGGGATGAAATCATGCAAAACAGACTCCCAAGCTCACAAATCTCTGAGGCAAATCTCAGAGGCACATCATGGTCACTGGGGAAAATAGGAGAGTAGGCGAGGTGATCTCTTTAGCTTTGGTCTAATCCAGCTAGTTTTGTTTTGCATTCCTAGACTCAGGACTGACAGATCATGGGATACAATCCACATGATTGCAGAATTCCTATAAAAATTATTGTGTTTTGTCCCAAGCCAGCGTGGTACAAGGAAGGTGATTGCTTGGATGCTTTCTTGTCACCCACTCTCAAAGGGGAGGCTTTGAGTGTATATAAACACAGAGACACTTAAGAACCTTCCAAAGACTCTAAAACATCTAGGTATGATTCAGGGTGCTGGTTATCACCTATAAAGCCCTACATGGTATGGGGCCACGCTATTTGTGGGACTCCCTGTCTCCCATTGTCTCTGCTCTCCTCACCACATCTAGCAGAGAAGGCATGCTCTGGGTCCCTTGTTGGACCTTTCTCTGTCTGCCCCTAAAACAGCATCTCCCCAGAGATCCAGATGTTAACCTTTTGTAAGCCAGTGAAGACCTGGATGTGCCCCCAGGTATTTGGGCCAGGAGTTTGGTGAGCTCTCCTGGTTAATGCTGTTTTTTATAAGTTGAGATTACTGTTTTGAGCTCAAATATTGTGGTTTGGATTGCTAAATAACAAATTAAATTAACTTTGGATGCCACCCAGAGTCACTGCCCTGAGATAGGCAGCCATATAAAACATTTAAACAAACAATCTCAGGGTCAGGCCTCAACAGTCGTTGGATGGGATACCACCAAGAAACTCTGATAAAACATTCTGGCAAACGTCTTTCATATTATTCCAAGATAATTACATGGATGTGGATGTATCCATAAAGAAGTTGAGCTTAGTTTAAAGGAGACCCACTTTAAACTGAAATGGGGTGAAGGCTGCTTCAGTACCAATAGTTTCACAATGAAGACACACCACATAAAAGCAGGATTTATTTTCAGTGTTAGATGTATCTAACAGCAGTGCCCCTGTGGTGCCCAAATGTTGGAATACCTTCTTGGAACGTCTTGTTAAGAAGATCCAAACCAAAGAGGCTGAAGAACAAAGGGCTGGCCTCCCTCTCTGGCCACCTGGCTTTTACCCCCTCCCCCTCAACCCCTTCCCACCCTAGCCCCAATGCTTACGTAGTAGGAGAAGATGACGACACTGCCTTGCCCTTGTTCTTCTAGGTCCCTGTTGCTAATGTTGTAATCCACTTGAATCTCCTGCTTCTGGTTGCAGGGGAGCACTGTTGACAGCCCTTGGATTTTCACATAGCTCTTGGTTGTGGTGTAAAATGGTGTGAGGTAGAGATTAGCATTCTCATATGTCTGGCTGATCTGTGAGCTGTACACTGGTTCCTGCAGCTGCAACGTTCCCGTGGAGGGGGGGGGGGAGGGAGAGAGAGACAAGCCCAAACTGTATTCCTAAGCCAAATAATCAGTTAAATTAATTCAAGGAAAATAGTTTAAGTTACCCCAATAACTCACACATTTTCTAATACAAAAGCATGAATTTAGAAGAGACCTTCTTCCTTTACTTTCAGTAAGGATAGAATATGTCTGTCACTACAACCCTAACCTAAAAGAAAGTCATTATGCTTTTCAAAAACATGTTCTAGTCTTATGCAGGTATAACCAGATTTATCAATCAATCAAAACATTATCCAATCCAGTATACATAATCGAATGACCAGCAGCCCTAAGAAGTTTAAAGTCCAGGTATCTGCATTGGAATGTTTGTGACAGATTGCCATCTACTGGAGGAAAGCAGAACAGTCTCTTTACCGCCACGGTTATAGCCTAAAAGCTCTGTGGCTCATATTACCTCTTGAGAATAGAAACCTAAATCAAACAGGAGGACACACGTTATAAATGTCATGCCTCTGCTTCTCCTTCTGCATTAGCTATCACCAGTCTAATATAAATAGGATGAGAATGCCTTAAAGACACTCTAAGTCTTGCATATGATTTATTCTAAACAAGTTCCTAATTTTATTTTTTTGCTTGCTCACCACCCATTTGTGTTACCCTTTGGATCTCTGCTCACCTCTTAAGATCTTCCAAGTGGGTTCTGCTCCCCACCTATTGTTTATTGATCTTACACTATAGGGGTCATATCTTTTCTGCAGTAGCCTTTTAGAAAATATTTCCTTCAGATAAGAAAGAGACCATTCTCTTCCTTCAGATATTTTATAATGTTTAAAATATTGTTGGGTACCTTATCCTGCTTCCTTGTTGCCATATAAGCAAATCAATGTTTGTTTGTGGTTTATTGGAAGTTGTGACTTTATACACTGATTTATTCATATCAATGCCCCCCATCAGTTCAATTTAATTAATGTTTTCATGAATTTCATTGACCAGTTATGGCCCATATATATTGTGACTTCTGATTTATACAGGTTGGGGACAGGGCTAACCCATATGGTGATATTTTTTTCGCACCGGCACATTGCATATTGGATAACTTGGTTTATGAAGTAAATGAAACAGGGACCAAATGTTTATTTGTTCACGCAATCTCCCCTAGGGCCTGCATGAAGCTCAGATAACAATCAGGGGCAAAGATAGGCAAAAAATTCAGAACATCTGAAAGGGGCTGAATACTCTTTTTCACAGAACTGTATATTTACCATCTAACATCCTTTAGTCACTATTGCAAAAGATATCCAAGGAAGAAACATTTTTTGTTGAATGTTTCTTTCAGAAGGGAGTGCTGACATACCCAGAGAGGAGATCTGGCACAAATATTTTGCTGTTGATAAAGCAGCACACTAAGAAATTCTTGCTAGGACCTTTGATGCACTTGACTGACCTGTAAAGAGACCCCCATTCCACTCCAGGAATCTGTGTCCAAAGTGAAGGCAGCCACTCCATTACTATCAGTGGTAAGAGGCATCTTGATGCGCTCATTTCTGAAATTAATGAATAAGAACACCTTGTGGTTCTTCAGAATGGATCCATCTTTTTGCAAGGCTTTGAGCTGTGAGGACAACAGAGAGGAAGAACTCAGGCTTACTCACATAATGGAATTTATCCAAGGTGGCTTCTTGTGCAGCAGATGCAGGATTGCTTCACTGAAATCTGTCTACTTCACTCCATCCTCTAGAAGTGTTTAAACTCATTATTCAGCCCTCTTTAGAAGGTTTACTTTCTTTGGATTATTTCCTCTTTTGTGCTGGTTGATGACCGCAATAAAGTTATTGTACTGTTATTTCCTCTTTTTAAAAATTCTTTTCTGGCTAGCATCTTATTCTTTAAATTACAGCCTGCAGTCAAGACTGTTCAAACTTCTAGAAAGGGACTAATCTGCTAAGTTATTGGCTTGACTGAAAGGAGACTGATGTGCATGTATCATGAGCAGTATGTGTAAACTAAAAGTGTAAGTTGCCTATCCATAGTGTGTAACTTTCAAAAGGAGCATATTTATGCAGGCATTCCTTATCTGGATCTGTGCCATCTCATCCCTTATGGATGTTCTGTAGTGTAACGGAAAGTTTTTAAAAAGGCATCTGTAGTCACTTAGCCTATTGCATTTCTTTCTAAATTGTGCTGAAAAGTACTAGGAAGTTGCTGAAAAGTATAGAAATTACCTTTCCACTGAAGGGGTAGCCTGGGTAATAGTAATTATCTGTTTCCACAAAGGACATTGATCCTAACTGAGAAGATATTGGGATTTGAAGAGTAGTATTTGCTTGCACTCCTGTAGAACAAAGAGATGAAGCTTAGTTGGTCATCTTCTGAAGAATAGGCATCATATATGAAGAAACCATAAGTTCCATCTTTAATTTGGCTTTATAACAATAGCACACTGGTGACTTACAGGTCTCATCCAACTCATACCTTTTATTATTCTAGGACATATTTATAGTCACATCCAATGTCATAAGCAAATGCTAATAGAAATTCAGTGCTCTGTTAGGATTCAGGAGTTACGGGAACATCTTCTGGGGCAAATCTGCCAAACAGTTCAGTGAGGGCTAAACATGCTCAGTGGCTTGGGAGTGCAGCTGGCAGACTGCTATTTTTGGGGGGCAGGCAATGGAAGACAAGTAGGGAAAGGGGATGGAATGACGTTCTGAAAGAGGGCTGACAGAGTTTTCAGAGATGACCCCTCTTTGAAGAATCATTTGGCCCTAAGCTGGGACAAAATGATTTCCTCTACAAAGCTATATCTTTAAGCTTGGAGACCTAGCAGGTTCAGAGGATGGCCTAGTTTGAGGGCCCAGGTACCAGAGGGGACCTAGGCTAATGGCTAATCCCACTTCCTTGGCATTATGTGACTGCAACACCAATAAAATAGACATGACCACACACTTAGGGCACTTCAAATGACCAGACATTTGTCTCTCAGCCTTCTGAGTTGTGTTTAAATTGCATATGAGGTTGATCCAGTCTGTTGGAACAACATTGCTCCACCATGGCCTTCCTTGATTTCCTGGGGACAATAAAATAAATTGACATAAACTGTATTGTCCCCATTGCTGATCCCTTTCTTGCCTCTGCAATGTCCTGACTTCTCTTCAAGTGTAGAGAGTAAGGGAGATGGCCTTGACAAAGATATGCAAGATCTGTTACCACGGTGACAGGGGTGAAACATATTTTAAGTCTGCAACAGATAACATTCTGAAGTGGCTCAGACAGACACCTGTCTACTTCACTGAACTATAAGAAAGAGGAGGAGGTACAGCACAATCAAACTTACAAGCTTCTCAGTAAAAGTAGTTTAGCTTTCCTATGGAGTTGAATTCTTGGTCTGGTCTACCTAGCGGAGCTGACATCAAAATAATGAATAACCAAGCCTAAAAGTTTCATACCAATTAGGGCTGCCCTTTGGCAATGTTGGAATCTGGGGAAATTAATACCTAATTTTAATTTAGTAGCAAATGACAATTTAAACCTGTCTCACATATATTATGGGGATATGGCAGAAAAAAGATGTTGCCAGGGCATATTTGTGCAGTGATTAGGTGCAGGTGGGAACAAAGCCCTCACTACCTAAACTCATCTGGACCTTAACCTTTGATTATACTTAGAGGGTGATTCTCAGTCATTTTACAGCTGAGTGTTTCCCTTCCTTTCTGCAAGCTTTTTAAAGACAAAGCAGGTTTGGCCAATAGGAGATTTACTAGAAAAGGATGCATAGAAGTTTCCAAGGGGGGAAATTCAAACTGACCAATTAATACCTTGGATAACCTGATTGGATGTTATCTAAATGGTTCCTTCAATATTTGTTTAGCATAAGGTTGAGTTATAGGAAAATCAGCCTGGTATGGGAATTCAGATAGACTTTGGTCCAGACATGTCTAGAAGTGCTCCTTGCTTGGAGAAAGGACTATAACAAGGACTATTATAAAATATGCAAAATGATGGGGGGAAACTGCAAATTCATGGCAGGACAACCAGTAAGAAACACTATCACCCAGATCCCCATATACAGTGGTACCTCGGTTCACGAACGCTTCTGTTCACGAACAATTCGGTTCACGAACAGCTCCGGTCACAAAATTTTGCCTCCATTTGCGAACGCCAGATCAGGTGACGAACAGGATCTGCAGCCATTTTCCCTCCCGTGACACGTGGTCGCGGCTTC